CTACTGTCCCGGAGATTTTTGAGTTAAGAAGTTGTTCTTACCAGGAACTGCAACATATGGAGGACTGGTTGTTAGACCAGTCTTAGCTGGACTGCATAGCTGAACAAAGACTAAAACCTGCAGACCAAGATGCTGAAGTTAGAGTTCATTCTCTAGAGACTCACTGCCGAGGCAGCTGACCTTATTGTCCAGTGAAACATGCTCTCATTTGTCGAAAAGTCTAAGTCTGTGAGAAATGTTTGAGTTACTTGAGAGTTAATTTTAACCCTTTAACACAAGACAGCTTGCTTCTGTCTTCACTCCAGCAATGAACTATCTTTTGCTTTTATGTTATCCAGCAGCAGAAAGTGTTCAGCATGCCTTAAACACACGAGAGAACACAAGAGATGATCAAGTAGCATTCACGTTGTGAATTTAGGTTTCAGCTCATTGTCCTGATATCTTTACCTTTTCTATGAGATAATCTTAGCTGTCTGTAGCTCTGTAAGTGTGTGTGTGCTGTTCTGAGTTTCATAGTGAGGAAAATCTGACTGTTCTGTCATGTTTAAAGGTCTCCTTTGACATTTATGTTTGAGCTTTAGGGTGTTGGGATTAGCAGTACAGTGTAATACCTGTGTCTGCTTGTCCAAATGTACTCACGTGTTCCTGTTAACAGTAGTTCTTCGCCGCGTGCACGTGACTATGTTTTGTCTCTCCGCGTTCACCGTTACATCACTCGGCTTCTACTCTGAGTTTTTCCCCCGCTGATCTGCAGCTTAGCATCTGTTTGCACATATCATCCCTCATCTTTAAAGTCTGGGTGTGGACAGAGGGAAGTGAACAAGCACCAGTGCCCGAGCACATCTCCGCCCTGCTCAGGTGGAACCTGGATTAGAGCCCAGAAGTGAGGATCCCGGGGGCAAAAAGAATCTGAATCAGTGCTCTCTCATTGGACAATACACCAGGAAGAATTTGTGGTTTAACAAAAGAAGGATAACAGACCCAAATCAAAAGTTGAAATCTGAGAACTGAGATGCAGAGACTACTAATCAGCATCAAATCTGAAGTCTCTCCTTTGCTTTTCTTTCTTTTGCTATTATTTTCTAATTCCATAGATTTCCCATCATGCTTGCCTCTTTTCCTTTAAAAAATCTTTTAAAGATTTCACTGTGAGTAGGAAAAATGCTCCAAATCACTTGCTGTGCTTCTATTTTTAGCTTCTTGTCTCTTTAGCCTCTTTAGCCTTTAACCTGAGCACCCTCCCTATTTTTTATGGCTCTCCCCCCATTTCTATCCCACTCTTTCTCCCTTTTTTCTCCCTCTCTTGTTTCCCTCTCTGTTGCCCTCCTTCTGTCATTGTGATTAGACCAATAGAGGAGATCAGAGGGAATAAAAGCATGACCAGCACCAATGACCTTTCCCCTTCTTCTCTCTTTCTCTCTCCCTACTCTGTGCCAAGCTCACTTTCTCATTGTTGTGAATTTTCCTCCACTTTTCTTTCTCTAAAATCACACAATGCAGCAGCAGCAGTTGTAGTACTTGTAGCAGGTGAAGTTGGCAATAGTATTCTTTGGTCTGTCCTTCTCTATTAATATTCTTCGCTAAAAATATTTATAAACTTTGTCTTCTAGAAAAAAGTGCCTAATTCCAGGAATCTCTCTAGTTTTATACTCAAAGAAATTTTAAAGGCATTTGGATTGGAGCTTTTGAGCGAACGTCAACCTTGATTATTGCTCTCACAGTCTGGGGTCATATGATCTAATACAGAACACACTTAAGCTCCACCCTGCAAACTTTCAAACCTCATCACAACATATCCTCATCCACATCTGTCCTCTTCATCTCCATCAGATGTCAACCGACTTCTTTCTATCCCTCTCTCCTCTTCATGAGCAGTCAGTGAAATGTCAGCCAAGACCCTCGAGTTTGACCCTGGCGAGAGGTTCAAACAGCTGTTTCATATAGAGCTTTTTTCTTGGGTTCACACAGAAACAATCAAGACTGCAACACTTTATTTGAGCAGGTAACAAAATTTCAGGCATCATCAATAAATTCAGAGATCCATACGAGCACTCGCAGATTTCGTCTGTCTCATCATCGGATCCATAAGCACGTATGGATGTGTTTGGGTTTTTTGACGTTTACAGAGCCTTGTGTAGTTTAAGAATCATGGGTCAGCTTATAAAGGTTCTCTCTCTCTCGCTGTCTCTCTCTGGGTGGCCTATAAACTCCAAAAGAGCCGTGTGATGTTCCATAGATATCTCCAAAAGGTTAATCTGCAGTTCACTTGGAGTTTATAAGCTGCAAAATAGACATGTTCAGGTCTGTGATGACCGGGGAGTCTCTATCATCTGATGCATTGTTGTTCAGTGCCAACAAACTGACATGTAGTGAAGATTTTTTTTAGTTTTTGGTCCTCTGAATAAAAATAAACTTGCCTCTGAGGTCCACATCATTACAACTGAAAACCCTAACCCCAACCCTTTATTTTGGAGAAAGGCAAACTGGACTTTTTTGGGAAAACTAAACAGTTTTTCATGAGCAAACGTTATCTTTGTTCCTTGACAATGCAATCTAACAGAAATAGAAAGTGACATATTCTTATTGGATGGGATTAGAGTAAGGGTTAAGGTTGGTGTCTTGACTGATGATGACCCAAAAAGTCAGACAGTTAAGGTCAAGAATCAAACTTTATGAGCTTTTCTGCAAATTTCTGCAGATACTACAACATATAAACCAAATTCATTTTTTTTTTCCTTTTTATGTGTCAGATATATTATAATCTCCGTGTGTGTGTGTGGAGTTTTGGTTTTGCGTTTTTCTAGGGTGTATCTGTGTCTGTGCGTGTTTTTTTTTTGTGTTTTTATGCGGTGTAAGATGTTTTTCTGCGTTTTTTGTTTTGTATTCTTTTTTTTTGTTTTTTTGTGTTTTTATGGTTTTTATTTTTTTGCTTTTGATCTGTTTTCGTGTTGTGTGTTTTTATTTTATATTTTAAGTGTTCCCTGTGACCTGAAAGGCTTTAGACTGCTCTGAATGATCAGTTTCAGACAGCTTTTAGACATCTTAGGCACACCAGCTACACCATCAGCCAATCAGAGGAAAGTTGTCTCAGGAGACAGGAGCTAAAACAGCTTGTTTCAGAGAGAGAATGGACTGCATCGAGGCACCGAGATAAGATAAAGAGGGATCAGTTTGAACTGTGAATCATGCAAAGCTACTCTAGGGCACTCCAAGAATAAATATATGTCATTTAGAAATTTACACAAAAGGGTCACTTTAAAGTGAGATTGCTTGTTGAGGCCGCTGCTTGAACATTAAAATGAAACTTTATCTATTATAATTTAATTTTTTTCCCGTAAAGACCGAATCTCATATAGAAAAGCTCCCGTAAATGCAGATCACCAGAGGAGTGTTTTAGAGCTTTAGTAGCCGAACGTCATGCACACTGAACCTGTGTTGAGTGCAGATAAATGAGCAAACAGAAAACTCATTTGGAAGAAGTCAATGCACACATCAGACATCATTACTGTATGAACTCTGTGTGAGCATGCTGCTTCTCTTACTGGCTGAGTTATGCTGACATGTGCTTCTCTCTGCTGCTGTTTCAGAACCATGAACAGCACTTTTAGTTGCATGCCCGATAGTTCTTCTCCTTAACCTGACCATGTGAGCTCTCAACTGATACCATCCCTACCTAATACACATGATAAAAATAATCATAATAATAATGAAAAATACCCAACAAATGTTATAAAAAAATCGGCAAACTCCTCCCATCCTCAATCCCGAGAATCAGCACAACCCTAGCGTGCCGTCACATGGCGCAATAATAGTAATAATAACTGTTGAATCGGAAGTTTCTCTCACTGAATGTGTTTCAGGCTTATTTGTACGCTGACATTAGAGCAGATCTCAGATTGTAACTTGAACGCTGGTTTAACCTCTTAACCCCCAATGCCCCCAGATACGGGGGCAAAAGGCAGGAGATCGGTTAGGCGTTGGGGCTTAAGAGGTTAAAGCTGGTTTGTATTACAGTTGCGGTCACGTTGGGTTACTTTCAGGTTTGAGGTCACAGAGAGTTCAGTCTGGCCTTCTTTAATGCTCGGTGGCCATCAAAAAAAGGTTGTGTGAAGCACAACCACACAGCGTCCTGGAAGCCTTGTCATGCTTTGAAAAAGCAGTCCACTCTGATTATGATGGGCTGTTAGTTATGGAGTATAATTAGTCATGCAAAACTGATAAATGCAGAGCCGCGCTTCTTTAAAAACACTGACAACACTTTGGATTTCATGTTGTGAGAACCTTTGAATCCTCCCAATTCAGCGTAAATTCAGGAGGCTTTACGAGCCAAGCCTTTAACATGCCAATTGGTACGTTTTGTTATTTAAGCGAATAACACAGTTGGATTACAATTAGATTATTTCCATCCATAAAGCTTTCATTTATTCACTAATACAGACTCTCTTATTTGCCAAATATGAAGCCTCGCCTCTGGCTGAGAAAGCAAACAGGTCACAATGACATTATGATGGCGCCCTGCAGAGTGAAGGGTTTCCCCATCACTGGTTCTGCAGTCTTGGTTCAGTTTTGGACTTGTCACAAGTGCAACAGTGCAACTGGATAATAAACACCATACAGAATGTGATGGCACACATCATGTTTGGAGAATACATCGAAAAATTCCTGCACTTCATCAATAAGCACATCTGACTTCTCTAAATCCACCTTAACAACTTTTGACCTCTTTAAAATTACATCAAATTTGTCAGTGTCTGGCAGCTGCTGCAGCAGCAAATGTCTTGCTGATTGTTGCCATATTTTTATCAAGGTGTTTGAAGTGGTGCTCTTGCAGCAGCGTGTTCAGTGTCATACTTTTATACCCCACAGTTCCACTAAAATTAGGGAGAGGATGTCTCGCCCACTTTGGATAAACACCTGAAAGTTTGATCTGGAACAGCTATCGCATATCTCATGCATTTCCCAGAATTTCTTTCTAATTTGTCACCTTCTTATTTCTTCAGGGTGGAAAGTTTGATGAGCCATGTGACGGCTTGGACTGCAGCAGAGGGTGCAGGTGCTTTCCAGAGAAAGGAAGCAGGGTGAGTCTTTCACAAGTTTTCAACTGTGTACTCTCCTCTGGAGTTCGGGGGAAATGCTTTCCATTTCATGTCCTCTTCACTTGTTTAAGTCCAATAACAACACCTGAGAAACGTATCGCTTGGTTTTTAGGGATGTTTGAAAGACTTCTACTTGGTAGCAAAGTCTGTGTTGAACACAGTTTCTCAGATAGTTGATGGATCTGAGAAGTTCCTAGTTCAGCTAAACTCTTATTAGTAGATATTTAAAATTTATTGTTAAAATCCTGCAACAAAGTAGTTTTAAAGTTACTCGTGTACATGTACATTTCTCTGTACTTTGCTTCTAGAGAAAGATGTATGTCTAAAATCAGTGGAATACGAACACATCAAAGTATCATCAGAAATTATAAGTTGCCTAAGACAGCTCAACTGTGTTAAAGAATAAAGGTGGTCACACCAAATATTGTCTTTCAAGCTTGTTGATATTGTAGAGCCTGTATCTTTTCCCTTTTCCCTACTGCATTTCTATATGTTTATGCATCCAAAATGAGGGCTGGCTGAAGACTCTGGCACAGTTTTGCAAAAAGAAAAAAACAACTTCAAGTTTCACAGTTGTTCACTCGATGTTAGGAACTATTAAACACTCCTTTATTCATCTAGAGTCATCGTCGTTATCTTACTTAATCTTAATTTTGTTATCTGGCAGCTTTACAGTCACACAGAGGAGAGTTTATTGTACTGATAACTGCACTGATCCTCTTTGAGGTTTCAGTTAATTATGGTTTTTACTCTGAGGAAACAAGTACATTACTTTAATTTAATTAAGGAATAATTACCTCGAGGCTTCAGTTCCAGGCCTTATCTCTTTCCATCGTACAGCTACATACATTAGTGCCCAGAAACATTATCGCTATTTGACACGTATCAAAGCGACGCCTGTATCAGACTGTGTAATGCAAGCTCCGACAGTCCTCATCAATAGCTGTAAATGTGGTTTCTCCAGAAGACGAATAACGAGTAAACATAAAACAGCATGTGGCTCCGGGCGAGGAACTTATTTTCTCATCATCGCTACCATGAAATTAACAAGAACATCCAAACAAAGGCTGGCAGAATATGATGGAATCAGTTTACTGATTAGTGGTGATGACACATACGCACAGTATATATCACCCGTCATCTGTTTGCACTTCAGTATTGAGCAAAAGAGCAGCTGACTCCTCTGATTTATGGCTGGAATTTAAGAGGAAAGCTTTAAATGTCAGTGTGATCCTGCTGGTCTCTAATAAATTACTGTACGAGGCTTTAAAAAAGCTTCAGCATCATCGGGCCAGACGGGCGAGTGCTGTAAAGAAACACAAACGCTCTAAAACAACAGAAGGTGGCGATATTAATGCTTCCAATACAAACCGCTGCTTTATTGGCAAGATTTAAAAATGAGTAAATCACAGTTGCTACAGCAATAAAACATCAGCCGTAATTTTAAATGTTGCTTTTGAGTCAGAATCGACCGAGTGCCGGCGTTAAAAAAAAAAAAAAAAACAGTACACAACGAGTGCAGTGATAAGATTGACATTTAATCTTATCTAACTAAGATGAGTGTGTCGTAGATGCTAACAGTTGGTAAAGACGAAATGTTTCAGTGTTTTTTGCTTTGACATTTTTTTCCCATTTAAGAAATGGGAACCTGTTACATATATATTTCTGAGAGTTCTCATTTTATGAAACAGGGAATATTTAAATGAAGAGCACAAACTGATTTACTCATGTTTGCAACAGTTTTCTGCCAATTGTTTCTTCTTTTTTTTTTGTGGTTAACATTGAAATGAACTGCTTAGAAAACAGCACAACCACACCTATGAGCGCTGTTTGAGGATTACACACTATTTTACCCTGCTTTTTAAATCTTAGACTCTTGTCACTGCTCTTTGAGCTCTACTTTGTTCCAAATCAGTAACTGAAAGGGCACCAGAAGAAAGGGAAAGTGTCATTTTTTTAAAAACAGTTTTATATTCCTCAGAAATATCCTAGTTATCCTTAGATTTTCCTCTCAGGCTACAAACTGGGTTGTTGATGGGTAAGGCCACCGGTATTACCCTTTAAATGAAGCATGAAAAAAAAACAGTCGATCTATCCAACCAAAAATCCATAAATCCATCCATCCTCTTCTGCAGGGGTCGTCCCCAGGTACTCTTGCTTCCTCCCACAGCCCAAAGACATAGATGTAGTCGGGTTGGGTTAATTGGTGAGTCTAAATTGTCCACAGGTGTGAGTGTGAGTGCAAATCAGTGAGCATAATCCAAATATTAAATAGTGAAATGCAGCAAAAATCCTTTTAGTATAAATAAATAGGATTTGGTTATTGCTGCTTATGTAAAATAACCCTGTTTTTCTTATGTTAATCAGTGAATCATGCTCTTCAATAAAACAGCAAATTATTATTAGATCATTTCCAAAATAAAATCCCTGCTTAGACGTCCTGACTAAAGCCAGACTAACTGTAAGCTCGGTCTCTTTCAGCCTTTATCCAAACAGCAATTACTGTCTGACACAGCAGCCCTACACTTACTGCCTGTTAACTGTGCACCACTTTAGGTAAATAACATAGTGACGAGTGTCGCCTTACCCATAGGTAAATGTAGGTAAATGATACAGCTCAGGTAATGCCACCTACCTCTGCGCAGCCCCTCTGATAAGCCTAAATGACACAGCCGCTGTGTCTTTAACTGTTACTGTTGGGAGCCGTTTGAGCGGGAAGGTGCTCATTTGTCTCTTTTCAGTTTTACTTTTGTAGTTAGAGCTCAGAGAGCTCAGGCATGCTCCCGATAACGGCCATAAACGGACGCCCGACTGCGTTCTGTCAGCTGAAGCGTTGAACACAAAGTGAGGTATATAGGAGACTCGAGTTATGTCACAAAGGAAAGTTTTTAAATCTCTGTTTCTAAACTTAAAGCAAACCAGTGCTCATAGACTTAAACATTAGCTGTTTGCTTTCAAGGTTGTTAATCATAATAAAGGAATTAAGGGAGCATATTTATGTTTTTGCCTTCAGTGAATGTTATTTATGTATGTACATGTATACAGTATCTAACAAATGATTAGACCACTAACTAAACCCAATGTTTATGTGACAGCTGCCCTAAATTAACTGTACTAGTAATCGATTTTAAATGTTTCTGTAATGGTTAATCCAGGAATATGTGCAACATCTGCAATTAAAATTGTGTTTTTAATGTAAATTATAATTATTATTATTATTGTAGCCATGAATTGTTTAAATTCAATTAAAGCACAAAACGTTTGGGAGCCGTTGGGTTAGAAATGACAGATGAATTCCTTCAGGTTTCATTAATGGTCCAGAAAAATAAAAACAACAAAAAAATACTGTTGAATGTTGAAAGTCAAGTACAACAGAAAAATAGATAAACTGTATTAGTTAATTATTGGTGGTCAGTAAGTTGTTTTTAAAGTTCACATTAGACCAATAAAATATAAAGAAATGTGGGCTGGCTCAAGACTTTTGCACAGAACTGTGACTCAGTTTTGAGTGTAAGTACACTCCCACCTCAGTGGGACTCTAAAAACAGTATCCCAGCATCGATCATCGTCAAGCTCATACATGTAAACATTCAGACAAGTAAAGAGATATTAAATATTTCACAGATCATTATCTTTAATTGGGTTTTAAGATCTTTCCCAATATTAAGTGGAAGTTCTGCTTTCTTGCATCTGCAGCCTCGCAGGCCCCCCTAAATCCTCCTGAAGACATCTCTAATGCTCTTTACCTTGTAAATCCCACTTTAATGGCTTCTCTCCAAGTCCCTGTCACAGCAGTGAGATGTTTCTACAGTCTGTCAAATATCTTCCTCTGATTTCCTCTTGATAAGTTTGCTTTGAACGAGAAACAGTCAGCCGGCGCTGTCAGGATTTCAGCCGGGCGTGGATTGAGTTTATCATCCCGGAGCTGTTTCTACCCGAAACTTTGTCAGCTTTTATTAACATAGTAAAAAATGGATGTGCTGATATGAATCAAAGATAGCTGAGGGTAACTGACAACGTTTAAATGTTGTCACGTATGTTTTGTGCAGATGTGCTCTTGAACCCTTAAGGGGAACTTTTATGTTTTTCTTAAATTTCTTATCTGCACACAAGGACGTCTAAGAACCGGAACAAATGAGGGGGTTTATCAGGAGTTCATCTCACAAAGAAAAAGCAGCACTCTCTATTTACCAGATACTTTGATAGTGGAGAAAAAGCACAACATACCACGAACCATCACTCTTTCATGCATCGATCTCTTATCAGTTGCTCTTTAAGCTGCCTTAGTTTGCCCACAGCTGCTGCACATCAGCACGCTGCATCTTATGTAGTGTTAGCTTATAGCACCTCATTGAATTCACATAAATTCCACCTACACCATAGCGGCATAGTGATGTCCACATTTGCAATGTTACTGCTGGTGTCGCTACATTGATCCGCCTTCACGAGCAGAGCTGAGCTGTTTATGTTGACTGGAGTTAATAACTCTTGGTCAGTTACTTGAAAAACAAAAAGATTTCAGAAGAGACTAGACGTGTGGTAATAGACACATCGGCAAAGGCTTTGCCGATCGACCATCAGAGGAAGATATTTTGTTTGAAGCCAACATGAGAAGAATCATGGGAAAACATTTAAAGAGACATCAAAAACACATTTACATGTAAATACATATCAGTCACCAAGCTTAATTGTTTCCAGTGTAGAAGGAGCCTGGGAGGTACTTCATACCTTCCTTGTATTACCTCCCCCTGCTGATACTGTAACGTGAGCATGCATGTCCGTTTCACGCTTTGGAGAGGCAAAGCTTGACATCTACACGGTTGTGGACCAGCGTCTATTACACGCTGTGCCGTGATACTGGGTTGGACTGAGTCTGCACACGTACTGTCGCAGCCCTGAAAAGCAGAAAAAACTGCACCTTTACACAACCTTTTGCATTTGTGCAAACTAGATACAATTCATTACAATACAGCTATACTTGT